ATTAGCAAGAGCTATTGTTTGCTAACACCATATGTACCATTGTTTACGTCCAGTTTTCTAGAGTTAAGTAAGAAATAGGCATGGCAAAACGACTGGAATTGTGACTTTTTTTAAACTTTAGATCATCGTCAGTAAGTAAAATAAGCAATACCAATGTGTGGAAATGCTCTGTTACAAGTAAAGTAACGTACCAAAAGTAAAAGTAGTAAGAATCACTATTAATGTTGCAGCTAGTAAAATTGTGTGTGACATCCTAATATATTCTTGTATATTCTTCATTGTTAAGTATTGTTGCACTTTAAACTGGTCTCATAATTATTCATACTTATATTCATTTGTAATTATCCATTTACTTCATGACTGTATATTTGTACATACTCATACATATGTATACATATATTTATATTCATTATCAACAGGCTGGACATAATGTAATTCACTTTCACAATCATTGTAAACATCTAGGGCCAGAACCGTCTTTAGTTCATCCTTACCGTTGTTCTGTTTATACTTATATATTTTATTCTTATATCCGTACGTGACCTGTACCTGTCCTGTGTTTTTCATTCTTATTGCTGTTGCTGCTATGACACCTGAATTTCCCTACGGTGATTTAAAAAAAAAAAAAGGTTTATCTTATTGTCTTCCAGGCAAGAGGAAACGAGGAGAGGAGCACCTCACAGTCCTGAGGGAGATGCACAGTGCAGATCTGGCCCAGCAGGAACGGTTGTATTTATGTTTAAAGTTTGCTTTGTTATTTGCACTTGTTTGATGATTAAACTGTTTGTTTGTAACAAGTATTTTTATCGTGATTTCCTCTGTGTTAAAGGTGGGGTAGGTAATTTTGGAGAAACCAGCTCGAGTGCGCAAAATACACAACCGGAAAAAATCTGCCACTCCCTTACAGAGCCCCTCCTCCAACACACACGAACGCGCACATGACCAATGAGGGCACGAGATAAGTTTGTGCACAGATGGAAAGCTGACAGGCAGGTAGGCCATCCAGTTATTTTAGCCGGGCCGGCTCAGATGATTGGTCGTGCTTTTTACAGTACTACGGCTTCCAGATGACATTTTTTTATGGATTTTTTGTCAAAGCACTTAAGATATTTATTGCTATCGGGATGTTAAGAGCATTCCATGGAATATAACAAAAAGTGTATCTCGAGCCGGTTTCTCAAACTTACCTACCCCACCTTTAACAGTAGATCTAAACAAACAAAACAGACCTTAACCTGTTAAGCACTGAGCCTGTTTTTCAGGTCTCAGGCTTGAAAATGACATTCCCAGAACAAATGACCATATCTTCTTCTAAAAATTAATAATCTTTTTTCTCAAAGTAATGATAAACCTGTGAGTTGGATGTAGAAGAGTCAGAATCAATATAGATGTTTTTTATTTTAAAGAAAATTCAGATTGAACATAGTAAAAGATTAAATTATAGTGTCCGTCCAAAAATTATTTTTTACTTATAGTGAAAACTACCTTTGGATGATGGTAAGGTAGACTAAAAGCTTTAGGAATCCAAAGTACAGAGAGGTTTAGTAAAAGAAACTCCACCTCTGAGGTGATTTGGGTGGAAATGGGGGTTTTACCGTTTCTCTGGAACCCATTGGTCGATTTTGGTGATTGACACCTCTCTCTGACCGTTAGAGCCAATAGAATCGAAGGGGAATCTCCCCTCTGACACACATGGTAAAAAAAAAAGGTTGGGCCTTGCGCATGCAGTTTTGCATCAGAGCGAACCTATACTCTAGCTCTGACATCTGGAAACGGAAAAGCAGGTTTATTGCTTATGGATTATCAGAAATCATTTCAAAGGGACACAGACACATTGGATTAACCTATGGATTAACTTCAGCAGCGTTTTTATCGTTTTAATGCCATTGAAGACCACTTTTGACCAGACTACGACACAGGTAAGCCATGTTAGCGTTTTAGCTACCTAGCGCCACATGTTTTGATGTCTGTTTTTGTTTATAAAGTCGCGAGTTCGTATCATAGAGTGATAATGTATGTACCCATCGATTCTGTGTCAACTCACGATGTGAAACGATGTGTTGGATGTGCAGAAAAGATAAATAATAAGGTTTTATGAGTGAATTCCGGTGCAGTAATCTGTAATTTTTCGCTCGTTGCTAATTCAGAGGCTCTGCGTTAGCATTGTGGGTTTATTTTTGAAAAAATAATTAAATTGATCAGTTCCATGAGTTTCTTTCTTACATGGATATAAAACATTCATAGTTTATTAAATATTAAGATGCCCTCAGACACTGTTTCCTCAGATGACGCGTTTTCCCCCCCGATATCGGGGGTGCAGTGTAGAAGAGGTTAATTTATTAGAAAGATTTTCTTTTCATGATCTGTTATTTTCTCAAATGTTCTTATTATGGGGCAGTACGCGGCGGCGGGCTGTGTGTGTGTTGTTGTTAACCAACACTGCTCGCCACTGGTGGAATTTATGGTTCTAAAATGCTGTCCTTTTTACCTGCCGAGGGAGTTTACAGCGATTCTTGTGGTGGCTGTTTACCTCCCGCCTAACCCCAGTAGCGAGGGTAAAGAGGAGGCACTCGGTGAACTGTACAGAGCCATCAGTGAGCAGCAGACAGCACACCCAGACGGCCTTCTCATCGTAGCTGGAGACTTCAACCACGCTAACTTAAAAACTGTGCTGCCTAAAATATATCAGCATGTCGATTTTCCAACCAAGGGAAAAAACACATTAGACCTGGTCTATACCAACATCAAGGGAGCTTACAAGGCATCCCCCCTCCCCGACATCGGCCTTTCTGATCACCTCACTGTTCTGTTGGAACCAGCTTACAGAGCCAGGGTAAAAGCCATCAAACCGGTTTCAAAACAGGTACGGGTGTGGTCAGAGGACAGCACAGCTGCACAGATGCCCCTTTCACACCGGCGCTTTTTCAGCTCCGGCTCGGAGCTGGAGCCTGAAAAGTACCGGTTTTTCCTGTTCACACCGCAGCGACGCCGCCTCATAGCTCCAGAATGCGGTTCACTTCCAGCTCCAAAAAATTGTCGGTCTAGAGGCAAGAGCTTCGGAGCTAGAGGCGGCGTCGCTTACGTCTCTTACGTCTCTTACGTCGAGGCGTGCAGGAAACTAAACCCACCTCCCCTGAACATGCCATGGGTCGACTGAAGAGTCTCGTCATGCCTGCCTACAAGCAGTAGCGCTGAGCAAAGTGACTAGAAGGCAACCACACACTTATAAAAAAAAACACACTTTATAAAGTCAGGCAACACTAACCAGGCTTCTGTTTATTTGTACCTTACTCTGACCATCCGTTCGCTGTTATTGATCATTGTGGAGAGCAGGCAGACGTTTTGTTTGTTATTATAGCAGCTATCGGATGGAATCAATACATGGGCTGCACAGGTTGTCATGTCCGACTATCACAAGTAGAATCATAATGAAAAATACGCCGGTAAAATGTGCCTGTAGAAAACGGCTTAGCAAGTAGTCAGTTTAGCTTCGGTTGTTATGCTAACATCACCCATGTTATACCAGAGAAACTTTCATAACAGCGTTGTGATGCCAAACAGCGTCAATTCAGACACACATGCAGCAACCAGGAAACGAGACCAGTAATCCAGCTCACACTGTCCGCTCCTCGAGCCTCAAAGGGCGGAGCAGTGAGCCTCGCAACGTCCCGCCAACACGGCACCCAGACCCCACGCAGCATTCTCATCTGTTTGTCATTACTGGTGTCATTTTCTGGCTGCTAACGCCATTGTAACACATAATCACTGATGTTCCGCTGTAACGGTGGTGGACTCAACAGAACTGAGTGGGCGAGCTGACCAATCAGAGCACACTGGGCTCAGGGGGGGGCAGGAGCTCCAACAAGCCGTTTAGGACAGAGAGTGAATACACATACTATACAGAGATTCTGTATGAGAAACCAATGTGAGTTTGGAACATTGAACAATGTAAATCTGTTCTAGTAGACCTCAACAATGGAATTATGATCAGTAGAAATGGCCATGACATGGGACCTTTAAAGTGAGCATGGCCTACCAAGGCCAAACTAAACCCTGCTAAGCCGTGCTAGGTCCTGCAGTGGAAAAGCGCCATTTGAGTATTGTTTGGAGTCAGACTCACCTTCAGGGGGTGGAGGGTCCGCAGGTTGAAGCAGCAGTGTTGTAGTTTCCACTTTTCTCTCCTGTAGCTGAACTCAGAGGAAGTTGTTAGTTTGGTCTGAAGGTGAATCTGATCGTCTGTTTTTCAGTCCGTCTCTCTCTCTGCAGTGAGGGAGAATAACAAACTGTTTCCTGATTTATCTCAGGTGAGTCAGGTGAGGGAGGAGCTCTGTCACGCCTGCCAAGTATCTGGCTTGAACGATTATCACAGAGCAGCAAACTGAGTTTCAATGGATGTTTCCTTCTGCACTTGTTTTCTTGAGACAACAGGGCATGTTTGGTTTGTTCTTTGAGGGAAATAGTTTTGTTGAAGCTGTTGTTGGCCTGTGGAAAAATGTAATCATAAGAAATGACTCCGGAAAAGCTGCAGATAGAGCCATAAGAAATGAATGCAACTGATTATTTAATGTTTAATCTTGTTTTTATAGGCAATCATTTAAGATTTGTTAGTTCCAGGTTTAATATGTGCAATAAGTTCATTTCAATAAGTTTTGCAATAAACATTGAACGAGTCCGGCCCTCGACTAGTACCCATTTTTTTATTTTGGCCCACTGTGTATTTGAGTTTGACACCCCTGCTCTACATCATCATCAAATGGTTCTCTCTCTTTCAAAATCATTTGCAAGGCCCTCTGAGCAGAGAATCTTTTGGCCATCTTGATCAGTTGTGATAAGGACCAAAACTGGAGGAGCTTTATTTACCTGAACACCCTGTGTAAGTATAAAAACTTTCGTTAAAATGCATCTATGCAACAAATATGAAAATATATAATTCATTTCATTTAATATCAAACCTTTATTTATCCAGGTGTATCCCCCCTGCTGAAAAAACCAGCATAGACCAGCTTAAGATGGTTGCTGGTTTTAGCTGGTTTTCGCTGGTTCTGCAGTTTGTGTTTCCCCTGAAAAACGTGATGCAGTTATAAGTTGTAAGTTAACTTAACGTTATCTTACAAGTTGAGGGAGTTACGTTTTGTTTAAAATCGTCAATGTAATACCATTAGAGGTGTTGTGTTGAACATGAAGTTAGCTAACTGTAGCTCTCTACCAAAGGTTAGCATGTTAAGCTGTACTTTGTGTGGCAGCTAGCTTAATACAAAGAGGGTTTTTGTGCTTCATTGTAAACTTTTCTTACAAATGTGTGTTAATCTACCTGAAATTGTGGGGACAGTTTTTTTCTACTCAATGATACAGACCATTGTTGAGGAGATGCAAAACATACATATACTTTGAGTAATGTTACTTTGCTGCTAAAAAATGAAACATTATCAGATGAGGATATCACCAAAGTGTGAGTCTGTCAGGGGATTTGATCTGTTCTTTGCATGTCGTACAGGGCCTATGTACACACTGCTCTGATATGAATTAAAAATATAATTGTAAAATGTAAATCTCGCTCTTGTCATCGTTCAGGCTTTGCATTTGAACCCCTATGACTGGTTGCGGACTTGAAGGGAACGACTTCCTGGCCTTCCTGACATCCAGGAAAAAGGTGGATTCTAATCTATTTCAATGCCAAAAGCAAGTTATTGTTTTTAATTTTTTTAACATGATTTTTTGGGGAATTTCAGTTTTATTGGACAGTAGAGATCTACTGGAAACAGTGGAGAGGGAAGAGATGATATGCAGCAAAAGGCCGAGCCGGATGGTTGCTGCTCCGTGTGGAACGTGTTCTATCAGGTAAAGCACTTTGGTACCCAGTTATTTATGGTATTGAGTTTGAATGTAGCCTTTGGAAGGTATTTTCCAACAGTGCATTGTAAAGACTGAAAAAACAGGCTCAGGTTAAAGCTTGACATGATTTGGTCTTTTACTTAAGAGGATGTTTGTCCTCCTGTCTTCTCTTATTTCCTTATCTTTCTTTCAGGTGTAACATCTACCAATGGTTGTACATGACACCACCTCTTTGCTGTCCTACTAGTCAACCCTCCTGATCAGAGCCTTTCCTAAATAGTGGTAAGTTGTTTTACAGTTCAGTGTACGTTAATTTAGCAACTTAATGCTTTACTGCTGTTGAATAAACCCTATATATATACATCCATCAGCAATCAATAAAACAAATCATCCAACACAAAATAGAAGAAATCTGGACCTATTCTGTTTCTTTTTATACCACAGCATCTATTGGGACTGCTCATTGATGTCATCAAGAGCCATTGAGTCTAGCTTTTGTAGTCGGCCTCTCAGAATGTTTATCATTTCTTTGTCTCTTAACATTCCTATAATCACTTGTTTTTTTATTGTTGATATTGTTTTGTTCTTTATTTTTGTTGTGAGAATCACTTTGCAATTGTGTAAGTGCTATATAAATAGTTATACTAATATTATTGTTGTTACCATCATTACTATTATTAATAATGTCTTCTTTGTTTTCTTTATTTATCGCTGCAGAAAGGTTCAAAAAGTTCCCTGTACATGGAACCATGCCTGTCCTCTGTTCCACATGTCTTCAGTCAGTTCTGGACCCCATGACTCGGACACTAGTTCTACCAAGGCTCATTAGAGGTAAGCAGTGGTAGGAGAGTGGAGTTATCTTTGTATTTAGGCTGCAAGTCGACAAGAATAGATTACAAATCGCTTAAAAAATGGTTCAGATAAGAGGCACCATGTGTTACGCAGGTGTGGCGCTGATATAGTTTATATAATATGCGGTTGAACTTTAAAATTAAATTATTTCCGGTGCAGAGACAAACACTCGAGATGGATGCATAAAGTACATACTGGTGTTAATAAAATATAGCGTATATCCCTCAATTTATCGACAATAAGAATGACAATACATACTTCCGGGTGTAAAGTAATATATCTAGCATACTGTAGATCCTACACATCCACTGGAGGTATATTCTGAAAGTAAAATATACACTTCTCACTAGAAATGTAATCATAAAGCATTATTATGGCCAAACTATCCTACAATTTAGGATTTTCCACTGAAAAAAGTGTTGGATTCAAAGGTTTTATCATCATATGCTCAGCAGCTACAGTGAAGAAATGTCAATGAAATTCTTCTGACCTGAGCTCCTCCAACAATGCAACATATATAATAAAATACAAAAATACAAAATAAAAAGTAGTGCAAAAAGTTTATATACATGTAATATAATAGAATATGACATTTACAAGAATAGAATATGAAATTAAATAATGTAAATTTAAGAAAAAAATTAAATACGGTGTATTGCGTGGATAATAGACCCAATCACAGTGAATGTTCAAAACTAAACTTGATACATTTTTCTTTTTCATCTCACAGTGCACATATTTAAGTAATCATAACACAAAGCTAAAAGTTAATCTGTTTTTCCTTTCTCTTCTCAAGAGTGCTTCATAAAAAGCAATAAAGAATTGTTCTAATTCATAATAAATCTCACAGCAGGACGTTGGTGCCTTTGTTTTTGAAGGGTATTTTGTTGCTCTCATGAAAAGCAGACTTCTGGTCACGTGTCTGTCTGTGTGTAAGGTGCACGAACTACTTATACCAGCAGGTGGCAGCAGAGTTAAAGAAAGTGTTCAACTAAAGGCCATTTTTTAAAATATAAATACAGAGGTTGAAGAAATCCTGCATTCCTATTGTACTCAAGTAAAACTAGTTCGACAAAATATACTTAAAATACCCCAAATAAAGTACTCATATACTATAGTATGCATTCCACCTGGGGGACACAAAGGGTTAAAGGGGCAAAGTATAGGAAACAGTGGTTAAAGATTATAATGATGGTTTTCAAAACGCCTCACACACACAAGTCCTTGCCATGCCAACATACAGTCTGGAGGAGCCCGACTTCCTGGTGGGGTATTGCGGCGTCTTCAGTGTGCACACTCTTTATTGTGTCCGTTACTCACCGTTTGAAGCAGTTGTTCTTTTGGTGTGTGTGTGTGTGTGTGTGTGTGTGTGTGTGTGTGTGTGTGTGTTATCTGATCCACTTCTCTTTTCCTTCGTGAGAAGCAGCTCAGCACAGCAGGAACAACAGAGGTAAATGAAGATATTTAACACTTATTTTATTAAATAGTTCTTTAATGTGATTTTAGCCGCAGCGCTACACCTTTTTACATTAGTTAAGTGTTTGCTTATTTTACTTATTGTTCTTTTAATCATGAAAGAGATCAGTTTGTTCGTTTTTCCATTTTCCAGTGAAGGCGTTTCTGTTTCATTAGTTTTCTAAAGATCCCATTGTTTATGAGACAACAAGATAAAGACCCTCGCATATTATGTTAAGTTTCTGAAACATTGCTTTATTTTCATCTCTTATTGATTTATAATTGAATGTCATTTACTTTAGATGTAAAGAAAACAATCCTGTTATCTAAATGTTAGGATGATGACATTGTCAATCAGACTCAGAATCAGGTTTATTATCAGGTTAAGAAATTGAGTTTGACACCCCAGGCCTAAAATAACTTTTTTAAGTGCTTTTTTTTAAGCAAGAATTGAATTGCCAAGATACAATGGAAACAGTTTTCAGTTTGTGAGGGAAGAAATGCAGAGTTTCTGCTTTCCTGATGTCAATGAGGAGCTCGTTCCACCATTCATTCCCACTGACACTTTCCCTCAGCCACAACGCAGACTCTCTGCATCACATTAATGCACACAATGTACACAATATCTGGTCTTTTATTATTACTGCACATAATTTATTCCATTCTATTTCAATGTAAATACTGTTTTTTTTATTTTACTATATTTTTGTGTTATTTTTAATGTTATTATATTTTTCATAAAATAGTTTTTTATTTTTGTTTTTTATGTATGCACCACGACACCAAGTCAAATTCCTCGTACGTATCAACCTACCTGGTAATAAAACTGATTCTGATTCTGATTTCGGAGCCAGGATAGTGTGTTTTTGGGGGTTACCTGGGTCCCACTCACAGTGGGAGCAGCAATCTGATTGGCTGATGCCGAGTGAAGTGCACGAGCTGGAGTTTAACCAAGGCCAGCACCAGTGTCTTGAATTGGATTATTGCATTAACTGGCAGCAGAGATGACAAAAGTACACACATCCTTTACTCAAGCAGAAGTACAGATACTCGTGTTTAAAAATACTCTGGTAAAAGTAGAAGTACTGACTAAACTTCTTTACTCAAGTCAAAGTAAAGAGGGCTTTGAAATGTACTTAAGTAAAAAGTACCCATAACTAGCAGCTGTTTTAAAGAGTACCTGACCTCCCTTTATATTAATAGAACAATAATGTCATTGTTAGCTAATGAATGTTTCCATGCTGAACAACGGCAACATGACAACGTTTTCATTGGTCCCTCTTCTTTAGAGAAGACCAGGAAATGATGGATACACGGATCGTGTTCAAATCAATAGGCACGCAATGACTCTAAATAATAATGATTACGCCACCAGACACACATTCAAACTAAAGGAACCAGCCTGTTTGGAAAATGTAAGAAGTAGAAAGTACAGGTATTTGTGTTCAACATGTAAGAAGTAGAAAGTACAGGTATTTGTGTTCAACATGTAAGAAGTAGAAAGTACAGGTATTTGTGTTCAACATGTAAGAAGTAGAAAGTACAGGTATTTGTGTTCAACATGTAAGAAGTAGAAAGTACAGGTATTTGGGTTCAACATGTAAGAAGTAGAAAGTACAGGTATTTGGGTTCAAAATGTAAGAAGTAGAAAGTACAGGTATTTGTGTTCAAAATGTAAGAAGTAGAAAGTACAGGTATTTGGGTTCAAAATGTAAGAAGTCAATGTAAAAAGTTGTCAGAAAAATAAGTAGTGGAGTAAAGTACTGATACCAGAAAAATTAAGTTAAGTACAGAAACAAAGTATTTGTACTCCACTACTTCCCACCTCTGGCTGTCAGCCAGTGGAGGAGTGGAGGAGAGGAGTAGTGGGAGAACAGGAGGAGGTTGAAGAGCAGTCTGGCTGCAGCATTCTGAATTAGTTGTAGCATTCTGATGGTGTTTGACAACTCTCTGTATTTTAGACCAATCACGACCAAGCCAAGTTTCAACAGACTCTACTATTCCTACTTTTTATTCTGAGACGCGTCATGTCAGTGAGGAAATAAACATGAATAAAATGAGGAAAAGAAGCAACTTGTTTTCAGTCTGAAGAAACCTCTGTTCTTGAGAAACTGATTTAATCAGAAATGTTAGATTGTTTATTATTTGACAGCATTGCAACATCTGTTTGCTCTTTTCTCATTAAATGTGATTGTTGCTGCTTTAATAATCTGAGTGACATCATTATTAATGTTAATGAATAACTCTATTGTAACATACATGTTTTTATATATTCAAGTAGTGCACACATTACTTTATCTTCTCCATTATATATTTTACTTTACTATATATTATTATATTTTATTAAACGTCTTAGCTGAATACTCAACTCTGATTGGTCAAATTAGAAGTTTAAGAGGTTGTTAAAACTCGATAACACACCGCTGCCAAGAAATCAGTATTTTAGATTGAGATTAAATCCTTTAGAGTTAATAAACGTGTGCATTTGATAATCCACGCTGAACAGCAATGGGTCGTCCTCTCTGTTTAGGCTTCTCCTGGGAAAACTGTGTTTAACATTTACTCTGTATTTAAATACTTAGAAATCTCTTTGAAACATTTATTTTATTCCCTGACGAAGAGGTCTGTCAGGGAGTTAATTTAAACCCAGTAACTCTGTATGTTTTATATGATTATACAAGTTTAAAATTGCATGTAATAAAACTAATAAAAAATGCATTTTATTTTGGATCTGATAAATGATTCGCTGCTCAAACTCGCAGTTGGATTAAACATATTATTTATTTATTTTCCCATCATGCACAAATAACAAATTAACAATTTATAACGACATAGAATCAATAAAACAGAGAAGGTTGAACTATAACCTGACATAAAGATCTGAATCTGGGTGAGATAATTTCAAATGTAAAGAATATATATATCTTATTTCCTCTAAAGGAAGCAGTTCAGCATATTTGATGTACATGATGTTACTTGGATAAAAGTGTCAGCTAAATGCACGTGTTTCAATTTAATAAAGGTTGACAGTATGATCAAAAAGCAGATTATCAAACTCAATAACAACAAGAATAAAAACATGTTTAGAATAAAGAGACAGCAGGAGGACAGGTTCAGAGGTCAGTGAATGATCCCTTTGAGAGATGATCATCATAGATATAATGATCCTGTGTATCTCTACCTGCTCTGATCCACTGTCACACACACCTTCAGTGGTAATATCTTCACTTCCTCCTGAGTGCTGATGTATGGAAACATCTTCTCAGTGAAAGTGTGTGTGAAGGTGTGTATGTGTGTGTTAGTGTCAGGATCAGAGAACGACAACTTTCCTCTGTTCCAGTCCAGATTCACTCTGACCCTCTGGAGCTCCTTCTGCAGGCTGAGAGGAGTTTCTGGAGCTGGTGGTGACAATGCTGAGTATTTACCTTTATAGAGACCTATTCCCCATAATCCAGACTGTATGCGTCCCTTCCTCTGGGTAGACTCTGTTGACACACCCAGTGACCAG